GGGGGTGGGGGTGGGGGCCGGGGGGCGGGGCGCTCAAAACCAACTGTGATTTGATGGATAATGTTGCTTATAATCAAACACAGAATCACTGATTCGAGAAATTGTAGTAACTTAGGAGTGTAGCTGTGGCATGTGTGTGTGTGGGCGCACACACACACACACACACACGTGTTTTTTTTTTTTTTTTTTTGGGGGGGGGTACCAGGAATTGAACTCAGGATCTTGTGCTTGCCAGGCAGGGCTGTGCCACCGAGCTCTCTCTCCAGCGTCATATGCTTACAGCTGAAGCATGAACATTTCTGGCTTAGCTTGGGTTATGGGGAAGCGTGCCTTTCCATCCCAGTTTCCACTGGGGCTCAGGAGTTGCAGGCTGGCCTTGGTAACACAATGTGATCGTGTCTCCAAAACTTCTTAGGGGACGGGGTTGGCAGCAACTAAGATTTTTTTTTTTTTTTTTCTGTACTGAGGATTGAACCCAGCACCTCAGGCATCCTTGGCAGGTTGGATGCCTCCTCTTCCCAGTGCATTTTTTTTAGAGCACATCTGGAAGAGGAGAAAACCCTGTTTAGTTAAATTAGCTGGGCTGGGGAGATAGCTCAGCAGCATAAGCACCTGCCTGGCAAGTACAAAGTCATGATTCTGAGCCCTCGTACTGCAGAAACAACCAACCAACCAACCAACCTAGGATGCTAACACATTTACATCTTTTACAGTTCTGTGGTTCTAGTTAAGGCCAGTTTTGCTACTCAAGCAGGGCAATTTCACATCCGGTGTTTTCTACCTCCCCAGATGTGGTGGGAGCCAGGAGTGTGAAGGGCGGGGTGTAGCTTGGTGGGAGCCTGCTTGCAAGTGAAAGGCCTGGGCTGATCCTTGGCACTGAAAAGAGAAATGAATGGTGTTCTGCTGCTGTCATGCGTTATTCTTTGAGCTGAAAGCTTTTCATGGAAACTTATGGCAGATACTAGGTAGGCATCTAGATCTGAGGGTGAACTCTCCTTTTAAGAAACTGGTCATCACTTTTTTGTTGAGAAAAGGCCCCACCCCTGGCATACTGTCCTGTGTGCAGTGGGAATATTGGTGGTTAGCAGGAAACTGAACCAAGCCTGTGTGCATCAGGCGCTCATCCAGATGAATCGCGGAGGCTCTCTGGGGCCGTCACAGGCCTAACAGCTGTGGTGGCCATGGGAGGCTGGAGTCCTCCCTGGTGCCAGCACTTCACGTGCTTGACCGGCGTGCACCCAGCTCCCCCTCCAGCCTCCCCGCGGCTGGCATGACTGTTCCAGTGGGCTTAAAACTGTGCTTATTGCAGATTTGGTCTAGCAGACAAAGTTGGAGAATTATAAAAACCCATTGTGTTAGCAAAGTAAAATAAACAATTTCAAAGTGGCTACTGAAGTTAAAATTATAAAATTCAGACTAGAAAGGCAAAAAACCCAAACTAGAAGCATTCACGCAAAAAATATTATTGGGGAATATTTGTTTTCTTTTTCAAATGCTTGAAAGATAACTATGGCAATGTCATATCACCTAATTTTCCCTATCTTAGGGGAAAAAATCGCTAACTTTCCTGTTCTGAATTAACATAAAACCATTAAGTACATCGTCATAAAATTATGGTAAGTGGAAAAAGCACAAAGAATTGCAAGTGTCAGTGTTTCTCAAATTTGAGGGCTTAATTCTTGAAAGTTTCCTAAATTTTGAATAAGAATATATTACAATGTGATTTCTCCCTAGTACAAAGTATGTACCAGTGGATAGATAGAATTTTAGGTGGAGAAGTTTAGTGGGTGTTGCTTTAAATTTTTCTGCATGGCTGAAGATTTTCATGGGAAAATTATTATAGGCAATCAATAAGGGTTTATAGGTTTTTTTTTTTTTTGGCTGGCTCAGTCTGCCTTTAAGGGCGGGTCTGGTAAGGCAGGTGGAGGTGGGGTTCGAACCTAGGTATCCTGCTCCTGACTACGTTTGCATGAGCAGGAGCTTAAACAACTGAGCTAACAGGCAGGCCCCTAATATGGGTTTATATATTTAGACTTAAATACAATTTCGCTCCAAACAGAGAGCAATATTAGGGATAAGAGAAAAGAAAACCAATGTAGCCTCTGCCCAAACCCAGACACACATCTCTGTGGATCAGAATGAAGGAATGCATTAGAGGAAAAGCCTGGAGCCTCAGTCTTTGCCTGGGTTTGTGGTTAAAGGAAGTAATTGGGGACCACAGCAAGGCTTGCTCTTTGCAAAGAAGGTAGGGAGAGGCTCTTTTTGCGAATGAAAAGAAGCAGGAAAAAGAAAAACCCAAATAAAAGTGTGATAGCTCAGGCCCTAGGTTTTCAAGCTGCAGCCCCAGGTAGGGTCGGGGTGGTGAGTAGGGGACCCATGCTGAGAACAGCCTTGTGCTGGCTGTGGGGCCCGGTGTCCTCATGCTGAGATTCTTCACTATTTCTGAACAAGGAGTTTCTGTGTTTCTTCTTGAATTGAGCCCTGCAACTCAGGTGGCCAGTCCTGCAAGTGGTCTGGAATCAGATCCAAGGTGACGTCCTTGTTTTGAAAGAGTAGGTATAATACAGTACTGAATGATAATGAAAATGCTGCACTAAAAGCAGAACGATTCAGGCAGACACGAGGACGCCTGGGAAGACATGAGTTGGCTATGGGACTCAGAAGCTAATAAAGGAATAAAAAGGTAAAATTAGGGCTGGGGAGATAGCTCAGTGGCATAAATGCCTGCCTGGAAAGTGCAAAGTCCTGACTTCGATTGTTAGTACCACGCATGTGTGTGCATGCGCA